AGCTGACCCCACCCTCCCAGCCCTAGCAGCCGCCTGGACTCAGTTCCAGGTTGTAGACTCAGGGTTGGGATGGAGCGGAGGACAAACCTGGACTTGTTATAGGTCTTAAAGGTCCTAGGATCCTGCAGTTTGTTGCCTTTCAGCAACTGGGGTGGCTAAACTTTCGGGGGAAAAGTCAGAAGGATGGCTGAAAAGATCCCAGGAGTCCTATGTCCAAGGACCCAGCCCAGGAGTATCCTTGGGCCCTGACAGTGTAGTTTGCAGCCACCTCCTCACCCCCCCTCACCCCCCCATAGGCAAAATGCAGAATCCTAATGCTACATGTCTGTGCCTGACACGGGGGAAAGTCTACAATTGGGCCTCACTGCTACTGGGAGTCCCTAGAATTTATGCCTTCCTGGGTCAAAGATATCATTTTCCCTAAACTCCAGATGTGCGTTTCTCTAGGTACCATCCTTGTATTATAATAAAATAACAAAAATAATACTATCTAACATTTATAGAGTTCTGTGTCATGAAGTTTACTAAGTATGTTGCATGTATTATCTTATTTAATCCTCACATGGTGACTAATTTCTCTAGGTACCCATTTTATCGATGCGGAAACAGGTTTAGGGAGATGAAATAACTCACCCAAGAGCTAGGATTCTAATCCATGCCTATCGAATTCAAAAGTCCATACTCTTAACCTCTACTGTATACTACATTTAAGACCTTGGAGGCTAGGAAGGATCATTTTTGAAAAGAGAGACAAGAAAGAAGTATTGTCCTTCTGTCCCTTGTTTGCTCTCTCCCTGTCACTTTCTCTCGCAGATGTCCTAGAACCTTGGAGCCATCTAAGAATTCCCAGGGGTGCCCTAACCAGTTTGGCTCAGTGGATAGAGCATCAGCCTGCGGACTCAAGAGTCCCAGGTTCGATTCCGGTCAAGGGCATGTACCTTGGTTGTGGGCACATCCCCGGTGGGAGGTGTGCAGGGGGCAGCTGATCGATGTTCCTCTCTCATCGATGTTTCTAACTCTCTATCCCTCTTCCTTCCTCTCTGTAAAAAAATCAATGTCCTAGAACCTTGGAGCCATCTAAGAATTCCCAGGGGTAATCAGAGTGGCTAATTAAGCCATACAGGCCCCATTAGCCATGAGACTATTATGTATTCATTAGCTCTGTTGGCAGTAGAAGTTGGATTATAGTCTTTGAAAAGGGCCAGAGGGGTGGACTCCTTTCTCCAGAATATCAGTGTCACAGAACCCCTTCCTAAGTGTTCCCAGAGCGCCCCCAGGTGAGGAATGGTATACACATAGAGGTGGGCAGCAAAGATGTCCCAAGGTTAGAGGCTACAGAGTAGATTCTTGCACCACCAGAAAAGAAATTCCCATAGGCCCTAACTGCCTCCTTGAGCCTGAATAAATAAGTGGGCAGAGGGGAGGCAGAGGTCAGATTAACATTATTCATTCATTTAACAAATATTTATTTAGCACCTACTATATGTGCTCCAAATTGTCTCACGGATTCCCCTGCCTGTCAAGATGGACACGCTGGCATCCCATTTAACCATATTTGTATTATTATTCTCAAAATATGACTCCCTAACTTTACATAACTATTTGTACAACCAATATGGAGCACCTACAACATGCTGGGCACTGGTTTTTTTTTAAATTTTTTTTATTGATTAAGTTATTACATATGTGTCCTTATCCCCACATTACCCCCATCCCCCCCCACTCATGCCCTCACCCCCTGTTGTCTGTGTCCATTGGTTAGGCCTATATGCTTGCATATAAGTCCTTTGGTTGATTTCTCCCCCTTACCCCCAACCTCCCCTACCTTCACTCTGAGGTTTGACGGTCTGATCGATGCTTCTCTGTCTCTGGATCTGTTTTTGTTCATCAGTTTATGTTGCTCATTATATTCCACGAATGAGTGAGATCATGTTTGGGCACTGTTTTTGGTATTGGGGATACAGTGATGAATAATACTGACAAGCCTTGGCTGGTTTGGCTCAGCATTAGCCTGCAGACTGAAGAGTCCTGTGTTTGATTCTCGTCAGGGGCACATGCCCAGGTTGCTGGCTCGATCCCCAATAGGGGGTGTACAGTAGGCAGCTGATCAATGATTCTCTCTCATCATTGATGTTTCTATCGCTCTCTCCCTCTCTGAAATCAATAAAAATATATTTTAAAAAGAAACAAAAGATTAAAGAAATAGAATTTAAAAAATAATAAGTTCCTGCCCTTGTGGAACTTACATTTTAATAGGAGAAGACAAACAGGAAAGAAAATAGTTGGGTATGAGATTTATCGGGATGATCACTTAGTAAGTTATATAATGTCTAATCACTGGGATGAAACTAACACAATATATGTCAACTGTAATTGAAAAATAAAAAATGGTTCAAAGAAAAAAATAACAAGATAATTTCTAGCTGTGTTAAGTTCTATAAAAGAAACGAAGGTGCTATGCAAAGGAGGGGACTACTTTAGAATGATCAGGGAAGGACTCTTGGAGGAGCTGACATTTCAGCTTTGGCAAAAAGTCAGCTCTGCCCACGAGTATGGAAGAGTGTTCCAGGCAGACAGAACAGTAAGTCTCATGGCCCTGAGCAGGGAAGAACTTGGTATGTTTGCAGAACAGAAAGGAGGTTAGTGAGACTAAAAGGCAGTGTGTGAAGAGAGTGTTGCTCAGTGGTTGAGCATCCACACATGAACCAGGAGGTCAGGGTTCAATTTCCAGTCAGGGCACATTCGGGGGTTGCAGGCTCAATCCCCAGTAGGGGGCATGCAGAAGGCAGCTGGTCAATGATTCTCTCTCATTGATGTTTCTGTCTCTCACTCCTCTCCCTTCCTCTCTGAAATAAATTTTAAAAATTTATATATATATACACTCATATATATATGACAGAAAAACAAGCAGGGGCCCCTGCCACACAATTCTTGGATTGCAGCTTTGGTTCCTGCCTTGGGAAGTCCCAACCTCCTCTTGGAGCTCTAGTTTCTTCACCTATAGACTGGCTATACCAATCATTTTTTATCTCATAGAATTTTCTTTTAATTGTTAATACAATAACTACTGTTTCTTGAAGGCCTTCTGTATGCCAGGCATTATAGTTGGTACTTTTTATACATTATTTGACAATCCTCACAACTGTGATAGATAGGTGTCATTCTCCCCATTTTACAGATGTAATTTGTCCAAATCAGACCCTGGTATCAGAGCTAAAAATAGAACCCAGATATGACTAACCCTAGTTCTGTTTGACTCCAAAACGGTGCTGTCCTATGCTGCGCTATACTAATGTGAGATATTATTATTGCTGTTTTTCAATACTCAAGGCAAGTTGCCCTCTGCTACTTGGTCTCTGGGCCAGTGGTCAGCATGATCCACATGATGGCTCCTCTTTGGTCTCTGAGTCCCATAGCTAAAAATGAGCTCCCTAAACACTGTTAGCCAACCTAGGTGGGTAGAAGGAAGACCCCATAATCTGAGACTCCCGCATTCAGTTAAACCCTGCTGCAACTGGGAAGCCAGGCAGATAGATGTCTTTCCCCTGACTTCTCCCAATCTCACGTGCCTGGCTTCCCCCCTTCCTCAGTAGAGCTCCGCTGGACGCTGGCGAGGCGGGGCCAAGGTTGGGGACCCGCCAGAGTTGGTTCTGTGTCGCGCGCGTCAGAAGCGCTAGAGGTCGTTGCGGGGCGTGGGTGGCTCGGGGAGTGGGTGGCAGAGCGGGCCTGGGGACCGAGGCTGGAGGCGGAGCAAAATGGGGTCCTGGCCCGGAAGGCGTGCCAGCAGCGCAGTGAGAACCACCCGGCGGGGCCGGGATGTGGGATCCGCGATGGAGAGCACAGGCTTGGGAGAGACTGCAGAGATTGGGGGTGGCGGGAGAAAAGGTAGAAGCAGGCGAGAGACACACTCACCAAGACATATACACTGGGAAAGCGGGTGTGGGGGCGGGAAGGTGAGGGTGGTCAGAGATGAATTAAGACAGATTGGGGGGCGAGGGGAATAAGAGAGCTGGAGAAGGATCCAGAAATGGAGGAGAGAAAGAGATGAGTCAAAAACAGAGACAAAGGACAGACTGTCAGGGAGAGATAGAGACATATGGAGAGGGACACAAGGAACAGAAGAGACTTAGGGAGAGACTCAGAGAAAAGGAAAGAACAGAAATAACAGTGGGAGTGGAGAATTAACTGAGTAGACAACCAGAGAGACCACGCTGGCTCTTTCAGCCTCATGCTCTTGTCATCCTCCAGACCTACCCTTGGAAGCCCACGTCCAGGCGCCGTAAGTTCTACTACCAAGCTGTCTTTGTGGCCACCCTTGTGAAAAAAAGGAAGATGGCCAAGGAGAGGGGCCTAATGAGCCCCAATGATTTTGCCCAGCTGCAAAAATACATGGAATGTGAGTCTTTTTCTGAGTCCTTTAGTTCTGGAGACCTTACCCCAGAGAGCTCCTCTTCCTTCAACTTTCCCCCCTCACCTCCAGTTTCCCCCATGATCTTGAACCAGTCAGCTCCTAAGATATGCCTATAACTAGGAAAGGGAGGAGAGGGGGATGGGGAGATGTCTGGGGTCTCAGCTGTCCATCTACCTTCTCTGAACCTTGACTGCCTGTTACAAGTCTCAGAGAAGAAAAAATAGGGGTACCACTTTGGAGGATCTGAAATGTTATTCTCTTCTGTATTTCTGTGTATTTCAGACTTTCTTCTTTCTTCATCTCACTTGAATCTTTTTTCCTATTGGATGTCTGGGTGGGACACTGACAGAGGGCAGGGAGAGCTAAACTAGACTAATGCTCTTCTTTCACTCTCTTCACACCTTAGACTCCACCAAGAAGGTCAGTGATGTCCTAAAGCTCTTTGAGGATGGTGAAATGGCTGGATATGTCCAAGAAGATGTGAGTGGCAGCTGGTAAATCTTTTCCTGGACCAACTCCTCCTATCTTTGTTTTTTGCTACACCATTGGGATCCCCAACTTCCAGGGATTATTCTGGGCCCAACCATGCCCTCCTCCCTCGAGATACCCCAACATTCATAGTTACTGCAGCTATTGCTTTAGGACAAAGCAAGAGATTCTAGTAATTCAGGACTCAACCTAAGAAGTTATACTCCTGCCTTGGGTGCTTCTCAATTCTGCACTTACTGTCTCTGTCCCCACTACTCCCAATTCTTCAATCCCCAACTCCCATCCTGCAGACTCCCCAGGATAATGGTTGCTCTCATCATAGGCCATTGGGTATGAGGGATTCCAGCAATTCCTGAAAATCTACCTGGAAGTGGATGATGTTCCCAGTCACCTCAGCTTGGCCCTGTTTCAATCCTTCCAGACTAGTTACTCCTTAGAAGAGACTGTAAAAAAAGGTATGGTCACACAGGTGGGAATGGGCCCAGCCTCCTGAAGAAAAGTCATGAGTTTTGGGGTGAGAGCTGAATTGAGTCACATGCTGGGGTTAGGGTTGGGGGTCAGAGGTAGAGGTTGGCCCTGCTGGTCTCTGGGAGCTGGAAGAAGGAAAGTTAAAGGGAAGAGTTGGGACAAACAAAGGAAAAGAGAAGAGCCAAAGTGAAGGGACCCCCAACCTCAGATTTACTGTACTTTTTGTATCCAGATATGGTATGTCTCAGTGATGTCTCCTGCTACTTTTCCCTTCTGGAGGGTGGCCGACCAGAAGACAAGCTAGAATGTGAGTTGCCATTCTGGACTGGGGGAGGGGAAGAAAGGTGAAGGGAGAGAGGGTGTTCCCCAGCCTTCCTTCCCTAATTTTTTCAGGATTCCTAAAGACCGACAGGGCCCGACAAAGGTGGGGCCAGAGAGTGAGCCCATTTTCTCTGTTCCCCCAGACTCCTTATACCTAATGCCATCCACCATAGTCACCCGAGTTCCTATGTTTTGTACATTTTCATGTAGGTGGCCTGGGGTGTTCTTGGGATGTAGACGGTGTGTAGTATCTCCCCTATCAGGTTCACTGAGGGTGGAATCCAGACCTGTTTCCCCTCCCTTTTTGTCTCCTTTTTCAGTCCCAACCCCAAGCTCTGGGCTCTTCATCTAAAAGGTTTCTCCCTATCTCTTTGTTTCCCCTGTATTCTATGATGAATTCTTTGGGTATCCCTCACAAACTGACCCTGGCCCCCCTAAAACACCCCACAGTCACCTTCAAGCTGTACGACATGGACAGAAATGGGATCCTGGACAGCTCAGTGAGTTGGGGGACCTGTATGCTGGGCAAGGGAGTATGTGTCCATTTGTCTGTGCCCTCCTGTCTCAACTCTTCCAGGATCTTAAGAAGCAGAGGAAGCTAGAGGGAGAAGTTGAATCTTGTAGAACTAAATTTGGGAGTAGGTCCCAAGCTCTTGACCCCTAAAACAGGAGGCTGGAGGCATGAATTGGGGACTGCCTTGCAAACATATGAACACACATAGACTTAGCATAGGCATCTGAGAATGAGAGATGGGTCTGGGGTGGAATCTAAGAACTCTGATTTCTAGAGAATGGTTTGAATGGTGGTAGTGAGGTGGGATATGGCTGTGGCTCTTACTCTCTTGGCCCACAGGAAGTGGAAAAAATCATCACACAGATGATGCGAGTGGCTGAATACCTGGATTGGGATGTGTCTGAGCTGAAGCCGGTAAGGCAGCTCTTCCTTCATGTCCCTTCTTGTATTTTCTCCCTGATGAGTCTACTTTACCCTTAGCTAGGATGGCTGGTCTGGGTGTCCTAGGGGGCCTTGGAGAGGTGTCAGATCTGAGGGGCCACTCACACCAACAGTCTCCCCATTCTCTGCTCAGATTCTTCAAGAAATGATGAAAGAGATTGACTATGATGGCAGTGGCTCTGTCTCCCTGGCTGAGTGGCTCCGGGCTGGGGCCACTACGGTGCCATTGCTAGTGCTGTTGGGCCTGGAGATGGTGAGTAGGAGAGATTGGTAAGGAAGTTAAGACAGCTGCCTTGGGTTGTTTGCCAGAGGTTGGTTCTCTAAGGGCTTAGACACTCCCTAGCATTTACTATGCCCTCCTAGACCCTGAAGGACAATGGGCAGCACATGTGGAGACCTAAGAGGTTCCCCCGACCAGTCTACTGCAACCTGTGCGAGTCAAGCATTGGTCTTGGCAAACAGGGCCTGTGCTGTAACCGTGAGTGATGGGGCCTGGGAGTGTGGGAGCAGAGGGGCAGCCCAGCTATCTGTGGGAGCATGGCGCTCTGAACTTAGTGTAACCTGGGCTTGAATTCTGACCTCTGTCACTGACTAGTTATGTGACCTAGTTAAGCCTTAGTTTCCTCAACTGAAATTGAGATCATTGTGAGCATTAAATAAGTTGTTGCAAGAAGAGTGCTTCATGCCCTAACCGGTTTGGCTCAGTGGATAGAGCGTCAGCCTACGGACTGAAGGGTCCCAGGTTCGATTCTGGTCAAGGGCATGTACCTTGGTTGCGGGCACATCCCCAGTGCAGGGTGTGCAGGAGGCAGCTGATCGATGTTTCTAACTCTCTATCCCTCTCCCTTCCTCTCTCTGTAAAAAATCAATAAAAATATATATTTTTAAAAAAAGAAAAATGCTTCATCCAGTGCATGTACCTACTATTAAGTCTACAATAAAAATTAGTTATTATTATTGTTTTATATCTGGGCCTCCTTTGGATCATCCAACTCAGTTATTGGCACGTGGAGGGAGTAGGGGTAGTCATGCAGTAACAATTGCTCTCTAAGGGGAAGAGTGAGCAAAAGGCATAGGTCTTGGAGGTGAGCCCCCACCCCAAACTTTAATTATCTACCATACCCTCACAGCAAGGGATTATATGTCTTGTTTCAGTGAGTGATCCTACCTCACCCCCGGGTAAGGAGGAGCTAGAGAGAGGGGCTTTAGCTAAGGCTCTGACCTTCTTCCCCCTTGCCCAGTCTGTAAGTACACCGTTCACGACCAGTGTGCCATGAAAGCCCTGCCTTGTGAAGTCAGCACCTATGCCAAGTCTCGGAAGGACATTGGTGTGAGTGACCCCCATGCCTACCCCATCACCATCCACAGCCTGGCCCCAGCCCTTGGCCCATTGTTACCCTCAACCCTTCCCCAGTCCTTGCTCAGACCCTCTCAGACTGGGATTGCCTTTCTCCCCAAGGTCCAATCACATGTGTGGGTGCGAGGAGGCTGTGTATCTGGAAGATGCGACCGCTGTCAGAAAAAAATCCGGATCTACCACGGTCTAGTTGGGCTGCATTGTGTGTGGTGCCACCTAGAGGTCAGTTCGGAGGCTTTGTCTACAGGCTGCGCCTTGGGGCCCCTGCTTAAACTGCCCTCTCTTCTCTGTTAGTCTCGAGTCTTCTCGCCTCCCAGACAGCTTATCCCTTACAGCCCCTATGGGCTCTCTTCTCAGTACCAGATCCCCAAGTTGAGAAGTGATGAGGTTCCCTCCACGATCTCTCCAGGCCCACCTTGTCTTTCAGATCCACGATGACTGCCTGCAAGCTGTGGGCCATGAGTGTGACTGTGGGCTGCTCCGGGATCACATCTTGCCCCCATCTTCCATCTATCCCAGCGTCTTGGTGAGTGCTGTGGGAAGCGGCTGGGAGGGGACACGAGTGCTTCTCCGATTTAAAAATACACATGCACACAATGCCATTTAGAGCAGAGAGCCTATACTTTTAGGATTCAAGTCAAACTCTCATCTGTTTAGGGATTCACACACAATCCAGTTTTCCTTCCCTTTGCTTCCCTTCCTAGGCCTCTGGACAGGAGCATAAAAGTACCAAAACAAGCCAGAAGATCGTGGATGATTTAAATTTGAGCACGTTTGAGGCTCTGCGGGTACAAGGCTGAGAGGGTTGGGCTTCATGTGGTGGGGGATGGTTTTCCTTCACTGGAGCCCTCCTGGGGGGAATGAAGTGGAAACCTGGGGAATTGTGCCTGCTCTCCAGAAGCCCCACCCTGGTAGAGGAGGGGAAAAAATATCTTGGGGGAATAACAGCTTTTTGTCCCTGTCTCCAGGGTCCATCTGAACTCGAACAAAACCCTGTGTTCCTTATCCTTGTTTTCTTCCCCCGTGCAGATTGACCCTGTTGCTAACACCCACCCACTTCTGGTCTTTGTCAACCCTAAGAGTGGTGGGAAGCAGGGAGAGAGGTGAGAAAACAATACTGGGTCTTCTGAGATGGAGGGAGAAGACCGACAGAGATTTGGAATCTGTGTGTATGGAGAGGACTTTCCTTGAGGAGGACAGCAAGAAGGTGTGGTACAGAAACTCCATCCCCTGCCATGAGCTTTCCTTTTTCCCTCAAACAGGGTGCTTTGGAAATTCCAGTATCTGCTAAACCCTCGACAGGTGTTCAACCTCCTAAAGGATGGTCCTGAGCCAGGGTGAGTGTAAGTTGGGAGCTGTAGCACAATGTTTGTGTGTGTCTGCCTATCTGTGTATGTTGAGAGAGCAGGAAAGATTGCATGTTGGGAGGGGAGGGCCAGGGGACCCCTAGAAATCAGAATTCAGAATGCTGTTTTTACTAGGGTCACTGAGTATTCTGTCCTCTGAGTGCTCTGCCTCATCATTGTTCTGCTCTCAAAGGTTGGAGATACCAATTTTCCCTAACTACTAAGGAGTGGCTATAAACTATCCCCATTGTACCTTTTCTCTACCCTTAATAGAGATAAGTCTTTTGACATAGGAGAAGGGGATTATAAGGAAAGTCCAAAAAAGAAGTAATCTGCCTGTCCGGGAGTTGGGTAGCCTCATTCCAGTTATCGTTCCTCATCTTCTCTTTCACCTTTTGTCTCAGGCTTAGATTCTTCAGAGAAGTTCCCGATTACCGGATTTTGGTGTGTGGTGGAGATGGCACAGTAGGCTGGATCCTCGAGACCATTGGTCAGTGCAGGGAGCGCTCCGGGCAGGGCACTCGGGCAGTGGCCTTCCAGAGCTAACTCCCTCCATGCATCTCCGCACCTGCCTCCCCAGACAAAGCCAACTTGCCTGTTGTGCCTCCTGTTGCTGTGTTACCCCTGGGCACTGGAAATGATCTAGCTCGTTGTCTAAGATGGGGAGGAGGTAAATGATTAGAAATTTTTGCTTGGGTAATGGGTGGAGTTGGGTTGGAAGGGGAAGACACCTAGAAAGCATCTAGGCGTCTGGTGTACAAAGAGGGTTGGGAAGAATAGGCATAGATGGGCAGGTACCAAAATGGATTGTCCCAAAAGAAGAGAGCTGTGGAAGGAACAAGGATCACAGTCTGAACTTAGAAGGGTCAAGGGTGATGGTTCTCTCCCCTATAAATCTAAAAATCTTCTATTTCTCCCAACCAATTCTTAGGGCCCAGAGCATCAGGGAAAAAGGGGGTAGAGGGAGGACAGTGTAGGAATAAGAAAGGTTGTATAAGAGCTAAGCCAGCTCTGGCCAGTGTGGCTCGGTTGGTTGGGCATTGTCCCGTGCACAGAGAAAGGTTGCTGGTTCTATTCCTGGTCAGGGCACATGCCTGGATTGCAGCTCGATCCCCAGTAGGAGGCATGCAGCAGGCAGCAGATTGATGTTTCTTTCTCTACCTGTCCCTTCTTCTCTCTCTCTCTCATATCAATGAAAACGTATTTTTTAAAAATATGTAAGCCAGATGCCGAGTGATGGAACTAGTAGGGAGATTGGCCATGACTCATCCATTCATTCAACCAGTTAATCAGGTCATGTATTCATTCATTATAATTTCTTCCCAAGTGTATTGCAACAGTCTCCTAACTACACTCCCATTTCTAGTCTTTTGCTCCCTTCAAAGAGAAAGAGTTGAAGGCATTGGTAGTTAAAGACGTCAATATGGGGCAGGTTGAGTTTGAGGTATCTTGGAGCTGAGCTGTTGGATTCAAAGTCCAGCTCTGAGATGTCACAGGAGATTATAGAAAGGGTCTGCTAAGGAGAGTAAAAAGTGTTTTAAGTGGAAGAAATTATGTAAAACCATTGGAGCCACCAAACAATGTGGTGGTGCATTAGGGGAAAGTGTGAGTCATTCATTGTGACTGGGACATAAGGTGCGAAATGGGGAATGGGGAGAAGGAGGACTGAGTTTACTAGAGTCCAGATTATGGAGGGTCATGAATGCTGTGCTGAGAGTTTTTAACTTCATCCTGCTGGAGATTGCAAGCTGACAGCCCACAGAAATTATTTGTATTGTCTACCTTGCAGAGTTTTAATTTTTTTGACTTTGGTTACTTCTAAGAAGTGGGTTATGTATTCTTCAATTTCCCACAATCCCTGGGCTTCCTACTATTCACTCATCCACTTTACCTTTCTAACAACTGAGGCATTTGAATGTGCAATTCCTGAATCGTAGGGAGCTCTTAAACTCATGAAAAATATATGTAAAATATTATACTCTTGTATACACTGGCCGGTGTGCTCAGTGGTTGAATGTCAACCTATGAACCAGGAGGTCATGGTTCAATTCCCAGTCAGGGCACATGCCCGGGTTGTGGGCTCAATCTTGTGTGGGGCGTGCAGAAGGCAGCCAGTCAATGATTCTCTCTCATCACTGATGTTTCTATCTCTCTCTCCCTCTCCTTCTTCTCTGGAATCAAGAAAAAAATATATTTAAAAGTAAAATAAAATATTATACCCTCTATATATAAAATATTATTCCAGAAATTAGGAATATTTTTGAATACATATTACAATGTAAATTTTTTGGCCAGATTTTATTTGTTTGTTTGTTTGTTTTGTTTTGTGTTAATCCTCACCTGAGGATATTTTTCTCATTGGTTTTCTTTTAAAAATATTTTTATTGATTTCAGAGAGGAAGGGAGAAGGAGAGAGAGAGAGAGAGAAACATCATTGACCGGTTGCCTCCTGCACGCCCCACACTGCGGATCAAGCCTGCAACCCGGGCATGTGTGCTCGACTGGAATCGAACCTGGGACCCTTCAGTCCACAGGCCGACACTATTCACTGAACCAAACTGGCCAAGGCCCCATTGATTTTTTTAGAGAGAGTGGAAGGAAGGGGGAGAGACACACACAGAGAGAAACATCGATGTGAGAGAGACACATCGATTGGTTGCCTCCCGCACGCACCCCAACCAGAGCCATGAGGTAGAAGCCACAATGTTTGGTAACTAATGGTTTGTGGAGGAGGACGTGAAGACCTGTCTAAGACATTTCCTAGGTCTGTGGACTGAGCAGATGGGATGGCATCTATAAAGATATGGGATACAGGAGGAGGACCAGTTTAAGGAAACAAGACTCATTTTTAGACACGCTGCATTGAGGTGTCAGTGGAGCACCCAGATGGAAGTGTGTGGTGGGTAGTTAGAAGTCAATGTTAAAAATTTAGGAGAAAAGTCAGGGCTGAAGATACATGCTCCAGAGTCATCTGCTCCTGGGTGGTAATTGACATCCGGAGAAAAGAAGAGTTACCAGGAAAAGAGTTAAGAAGAGAAGGTGGATGAGAACAGGCAGATCCTGGTAATCACCCTATTTAAGGTTTGAGCAGAGGAAGATGAATTATTAATGGAGTCTATATTAGTGACCTGTTTCTGCTATAACAAGTCACCACAAACAGTGGTTTAAAACAACACAGCTCTGACCGGTTTGGCTCAGTGGATAGAGCGTCAGTCTGGGGACTGAAGGGTCCCCGGTTCGATTCTGGTCAAGGGCATGTACCTTGGTTGCGGGCACATCCCCAGATGGGGGTGTGCAGGAGGCAGCTGATGGATGTTTCTAACTCTCTATCCTTCTCCCTTCCTCTCTGTAAAAAAAATCAATAAAATATATTTAAAACAACAACAACACAAATTTATCATCTTAACCTTCTGAGGATCAGAAGTCCAAAATAGGTCCTATTGCACTAAAGTCAAGGTGGTGGCAGGGCTGTGTTTGTTTAGAGGCTCTAGGGGTCCTCTTTTTACTTATAAGGACCCCTGTGATCACCTTGGGCCTGCCTAGATAATTCAGGATAATCTCCCCATTTTTAAAAATCATTAATTTGATCACACCTGCAAAGCCGCTTGCTGTGTACGGCAACATATTCAGATTCTGGAGATGAGGGTGTGGACATCTCCGAGGGGCCATTACCCTGCCTACCGCAGAGACTGAGAAGGAGCAGTTAGAGAGGGTCCTCTGTCACTTAGAGAGTGCTAGTTGAGAAACCAAGTGAGTAGTTTCATGAGTTAAAATAAGAACTAAAGATATACTATTGGTTTTGGCAGGAATCATTGGCAATCTTTGCCAAAAGAGTTTCAGCAGGGTTGTATGGTGAAAGGCAAATTACAGTGGGTTGAACCACCAATGGAATGTGAGGAAGTGAAAACCCAGTTTTGTAATCTTTTTCTTCCTGATTGCAAAAATAATACGTGCTTGTGGTAAAATATACTTCAAACATTTCAGATATACGTGCCAAGAAAGTGAAAGTTCTCTGTAATCTACTCCCTGAAGTTTTGGAGTCTATTTCCACATGGTTTTCTTTCTAGAGACATACTAATCTGTATTTAAACAACAAGGTCGTTTTACAGATGCTTTTCTTCTTCTTTTTTTTTTTTAACCAAACAGTTCATCTTGGTTGTCATTATATTTCTTTTTTAAAATATATTTTTATTGATTTAAGAGAGGAAGAGAGAGGCAGAGAGAGATAGCAACATCAAATGATGAGAGATAATCATTGATTGGCTGCCTCTTGCACGCCCCCTACTGGGGATCAAGCCCGCAACCCAGGCATGTGCCCTCGACTGGAATTGAACCCAGAACCCTTCACTCCTCAGGCCAACACTATCCACTGAGCCAAACCTGCTAGGGCTGCCTCCCTCCTTTTATTACTGAATAGCACTATGCTCTGTGAATGTCATTATTTACTTATTTATTTTTATTTTGAGAGTATGTTTATTAAAGCTAAGGATAGCGAAAGGAGGAAGGGCTTAGGATAGAAGAAGCAACAGGAGAGAGACTAGGTGAGGCTGCTTAAGCTCCCTAGAACTGTTCTAGGAAAAAAGAAGTGAGCCAAGGTGGGGCTGCTTTCGCTCACTGGAGAGTCAGAGGAAACGGGGCCTTGGACACAGGTTCAGAGGGTTAGCCCGGGAGGAGCAGCTGCTGCCCGTGGCTCCCCTGGTTGCAGGTCTTGTGGGGACTGTTAGAGTTTAGGAGAGGCATGCCTGTCGGGGAAGAAAAGCAGGGATGTGCTCCTGGGAGGGAACGTGCCTTTCATAACTTATTTAACCAGTCCCCTCTTGATAGACATTTGGGTAGCATTTAGTCTTTTACTACAAACCATGTGCAGTGAACACTGCACATCTATCTCTGCACACAGATGTGAGAATTTCTCTAGGAGAGATTTCAAGAAGTGAAATTGCTGGCTCCAAGACCATAAAGATTTGACACTTGATTAGTTATTTTCTTAAAAAAAAAAATAGTGCTTGCTTGAGCAGTATATATACTAAAATTGGAATGATACAGAGACGATTAACATGGCCTCAGTGCAAGGACGACACACAAATATGTGAAACATTCCATATTAAAAACAAAAAGAAAGTAATACGTCAGTACATTTTCACTGTAAAAAATTTTGAAAAGTGAAATGTGTAAGTCTTCACATATAGGCCTCTTTTTCCTTACTCCTCACCAAATTCCACATTCCTCCCACTGCTTCCTATTTGCACTCATTTTTCTGTTTTCACATGCACACATACACGGAACTTTTAAACAAACATAAATGGGATCATGCTATCCAAATTTTTCTGGTTCTTTTTTTCATGGCATAATGTGTCTTGGAGATCTTTCCATGTTAGCACCTATAGATTTCATTTTGCATTCAGTAGCTGCGCATTATTTCATGGCATGGATTTGCCACCATCTATATAACCTTCCCTTACTGATGGGCATTTAGATTTTTTCCAATATTTTGCTATTTTAGACATACCTCAGCAAACTTACTTGTATATCCACTGCTGTGCACATGTGTGTTGGTTTCTGTAGGTGAAATTCCTAGAAGTGGAATTGCTACATCAAAGGATACGTTTTGATAAAATTTGATAACGTTTTGATAAAAATTGCCAAATTGTCTTCCAAAAACGAAATAACAATATGTGCTCCAACTAACAGCAAATGAGAGTGCCAGTTTATTCATAATCTCTTTGATGCTTGATTTTATCAATCTCTTTATACTTTGTCAATTTGAGCATCTTTAATATGCATATTGTCCATTTGTATTTCTTTTTTTAAATATATTTTTATTATTATTTAAAATATATTTTTATTGATTTCAGAAAGGAAGGGAGAGAGAGAGTGATTGAAACATCAATGATGAGAGAAAATCATTGATCGGCTGCCTCCTGCACACCACACACTGGGGACCAACCTGCAACCCAGGCATGTGTCCTGACCGGAAATCGAACCGTGATCTCCCGTGGCCAGGCTTAAATATATTTTTATTGATTTCAGAGAGGAAGGGAGAGGGAGAGAGAGATAGAAACATCGACGATGAGAGAGAATCATTGATTGGCTGCCTCCTGCTCACCCCGCTACTGGCTACTGGGGATTGAGCCCACAACCCTTCAGTCCACAGGCTGATGCTCTGTCCCCTGAGCCAAACCAGCTAGAGATGTATTTCTTCTGTGATTGGCTTGATTGCCTTATTTGCCAGTTTTTCTATTGACTTTATAAATATAGAATTTGTAAGCTTTTTTTAAATGTTGGGGAAGGTAATCTGTTGTCTGTGCTGCAGAAAATTTTCCTCAGTTTGTATTTTGTCTTTGTTGTTGTTGCTGTTAATCCTCACTTGAGGATATTTTTCCATTGATTTTTTTTAGACTGAGTCAGAAGGGTGGGGGAGAGACACAGAGAGAGAAACATTGATGTGAGAGAGACACATCGATTGGTTGCCTCCCGCACATGCCCTGACCGGGACAGGGGATTGAGCCTGCAACTGAGGTACATGCCCTTGACGGGAATCAAACCCAGGACCCTTCAGTCTGTGGGCAGACGCTCCAACCACTGAGCCAAACCGGTAGGGCTATTTTGTCTTTTTTTTTTTTCAAGTGTGTTATTTATTTAACCATACAGAAGTTTCTAATTTTAATATACTTGTGTTAATCAGTCTTTCCCTTTTTTGGCTCCTAGCTTTGTATTATGCTTTAGAAAGGCCTTTTCCATTCAAGATTCTTAAAACATTGTGCTTTCTTCTAGTACAAATTCTGCTTCCTTTTTTTACATTTAAATTCTTTGATCCACCTTGAATTTATTTTGGTATAAGGAGTAATTTTTACACCCAGCACCATTTATGGAATAATCTGTTTTTTCCCTGCTTACTTGAAATGTCATCATATACTAAATTCTTATATATACTTCATTCTATTTCTGGGCACTCTGTCCTTTACTTTTTACTTTATTTACTTTTATCACACTGTTTAGACAGAGAAAGTGTCAGGGAATGAGAGAGAGAGATAGAGATGGAGATAGAGCTAGAGAATGAATTTTCCCCATTCATCACTCATTTTAAAATTTTTCTGGCTATTTTTTCTGGTCTTCCAGATGAACTTTGTGTTATTGTTAGATGGGTACACACATTGGGAACGCTCATCCTCCATGACAGTGTGGAAGAAAGGGTCAGCAAGGTCCATGCCCAAGCACCCTTCCCTTCCACTGGCAAGGGCTGGGAGAGTCTGCAGAATCAGGACAGAGGATCCCTGGGAATTTGTGGAGCTAGGAGCTAAGAGGAGGTCCCTCTGAGACTTGGGGCTGAGTGCTAACCTGTCTTCTCCCCCCTCCCTAGGCTATGAGGGACAGAATTTGGGGAAGATCCTCAAGGATTTAGAGACGAGTAAGGTGGTACATATGGATCGATGGTCTGTGGAGGTGATACCCCAACGAACTGAAGAAAAGTGTGACCCAGTCCCCTTTCAAATCATCAATAACTACTTCTCCATTGGTGTGGTCAGTGGAGTGGGCATGGGGGAAGGGAGGAAGTAGGGGTTAAGCAGGCACAGGATGGAGGAGGGCAGACTGGAAAGGTAGAGGTTAAGGAAGCTACACACAGGAAAATTTGGGGTGGGGCCCAGTGGTGTGAGTTGCAAGAAAAGAACATGAGGCATACTGCTCCCAAATGGGGAAGTTAAAGAAAGTTCTGTGCTGAGAGGAGGCAGGCCTCTGATCTTACATGCCCTGAACTCCCCAGGATGCCTCTATTGCTCACCGATTCCACATGATGCGAGAGAAATATCCTGAGAAGTTCAACAGCAGGTGAGAGAAAGTGGGGGTGGGGGTAGGTATACACAGTGGCAGGGACCAGTTGTGGCCAAGTGTGACCAGAGCACTTATATGGGTAGTAACACCTCTAGGAAAGCCCTCAACCCAAAGGTACCCTGTTCTGCATGGGTATGGAGTCAGGAGGTTGATGCCCTTCCCTGTCACTGCCAACTGCATAATTTGCCCCCTCCCCACTGGGTCTTGTGTTGGGGCTGATACAGAATGAAGAACAAGCTATGGTATTTCGAATTTGCCACATCTGAATCCATCTTCTCAACATGCAAAAAGCTGGAGGAGTCTTTGACAGTTGAGGTGGGTATGATGAAACCTAACCCTATATCCTTTTCAGCTTTTTATATCTTAGTTTCTCCCTATACAGGTGCCTCAAGAACTTCCCATATTCTTGAACCTTTGCTTTGACCTCCCAGTTCTCCAATTTTGAATTCCCAAGTTCTCAAGATATACTAGTCCCTATTTCCCTCCATCCCTTGCAAAACTCAAAATCTTGGCTTTCCCTATTTGTCATTTGGTGGAGGAAGAGGTCACGCCTTTATTGTGTCATGAAGTAAAGGTCTGTTTTCTCCTACCCTCAGATCTGTGGGAAACCACTGGATCTGAGTTCCCTATCTCTAGAAGGCATTGCAGTCCTGAACATTCCTAGCACGCATGGTGGATCCAACCTCTGGGGTGATACCAAGAGACCCCATGGGGACATCCACGGGATCAACCAGGCCTTAGGTTCCGCAGCTAAAGTCATCACCGACCCTGACATCCTGAAAACCAGTGTACCAGGTGAGAGGAGCAGCTCTGGAAGCGGAGTGAGCGGGGCTAAGGGGAAGGTGTGACTCTCTCTGAAGGCACCCTGCTTCTGCAAAACCTATCTCACTACTTTCCACCCCCAGACCCAAGTGACAAGCGGCTGGAAGTAGTAGGGCTGGAGGGTGCGATTGAAATGGGCCAGATCTATACCAAGCTCAAAAATGCTGGACGTCGGCTGGCCAAGTGCTCTGAGATCACCTTTCAGTAAGGAAAACTCTGGCCAGGGGCTCTGAGGGAAGGAGTTGGGCCGGGAGCACCCAGGTCATGGGAATGGTGGGGAGGGACTGTACTAGGAGATCTCA